TCTTTTACGAAAATATTTTATATGCTTTTTAATTTTTTAATTAATTAGGTTTAATTTAATTTAAATAATTTTTAATTTATTTTTGAGGAATTTGCATTGAAATGTCATTGAAATTGACAACAAACTGTGCATCGCCACTGTATCTACTGTTTGATATATTTATATATATATATATATATGTTTATATATATGCATATAAGATATTTTGCATGAGCAAATATATATTATTATTTGTATATATAGTATAAATAATTTATATATGTAGATATACTATATATATTTACATATAGTATAGTTTCATAAAAGTTTTTAAATGCATTTATTCAATTAACTGCATTTAAAAAAGAAAGACTCACAGCTTTTGTTTTATTTGGCCACTGCAGCTGCAGTTTGTGTTGCAGTTGCAGTCATGGCACTCGAATGGTTGATTCCTAAAATATCGAAGATATTTCGGTAGCCTGCAATGTGCCGTGGCAAATTCATGTGATTCGAAAGTAATTTAATTAGATGCCACGAAATTCGATGAAATTCCTTTGTTTTTAATTTAGATCATTTGAGGATGGCAATCTATTTTGGTATCTACATACTCATACCTTTTTCATGATGATGAACGCTTGTATATGTGAGTTAATATTTTTAAATTGTTCAAATAATTTTAATGATTGGAATATTTAATGAATATTCACAATTAGTAAATATTGTTATATTAATTTTATATATTTTATTCCCAAAAATTTGATTTGAAAAAAATGTTGGTTAACAATCACAATATACATTGTTTGTTGTTTAAAAATTAGAAATTATTTTACTTAAATTTTAATATTTCAGTTTGGTTTAAAAAGCTATACAATTAGATACTAATAGCTTTACATTTAACTAAAAATGTGTAAAATCTTTAAGATATGCTATTTATATTATTTTAATATGAATAAAATAGCATATTTGAAATACGTTTCGATTTAAAATTAATACAGAAATATAAATATTGTCGACTGACTAGTTGTTAGTATGTATGTTGATCCTTTTTTCGAGTCAGTGCAACTGGGCACTTTTACTCTTTGATAGCTGGGGGTACTACAGGGTCCCACCCATCTCATTGACTAATTTATGTATTCCTTATGAGCTTCATGATTATTCAGTGATTTATCTAAGATCTGCGTACCTCCCCGTGCGGAGAGTGATTACTCTAAGAATAGATAGTGCTAAGTAGGATAGCCTATCATTTTTCGCATATAAACTAGTCGTTAGTCTACTAATTAATTTTATATAATGTTAATCTGATCGGCCATAAGCTATGCATAGAAATATCACTTCCTAGCTACACTAGATCAAGTTAAAGCTTTAAGTTGATTTTATAGTAAGTATTTGTTAAAAATTAAGACGTTCTTAATGCTCTATTCCTGAGGCAGAACCATTATGCAGTTTTAGAGATTTTTTAAAGGATGTTTTCAATCACAACTTAGTAGAACTGGAAACTAGACCTTATGTGCCACACATAGTGTGTAAAATATAAATTTATGGGTATGCTTCATTAAAAATTGCTTTAGTTAGGTTTAATCTATTTTTTTTTAATAATTATTTAATAAACTATATATTAATTGTAATGATATTGAAGTTTGAAAATAATCATTTTTTTCATTACTTCACTAATTCTTTGAAAGAATTGGAACCTAATAACTTTTTATTACTACCGAATGTAAAAAACACTTTTAATGGACAGCGATTTGTGACACTTAACCAAAACATAACACGTGACCAAAACACATGTTTCTGATGATTTTAATGGACTACGATTTGTAACACTAAAGAACTAATAAATCCGTTCAAAACACATGTTTATGATGTACTTTAATGGAATGAAATAATTGTCATAAAAATTTGTTCTATTTATGATCAAAGAGAATATCTGAAAAAAATTATACAGCCATTTCTAGTTTTCAAAACCTAATTTTATTTATTCCGGACACGCAAATAAAATTATTTATATTTATTTTGATTTATAATACAACTGTGGCCTTATATAAAACCTAGTACTTTCGCTTAAGTATTCTGCTACCGTTGCTTGTACAATTATCGTGCTCACAGGACACTGTCCTATAGGATTCCGATTCCAGTAATCTAATAGTTTACAGATTCCTTTAAACTACGTTCGTAGCAGTGAAACAGAGCAGGAAGAGTAAAATGCCACTCATCTACTCTGTCACTGCTTGGTATTTACGAAATGAGTGTATTTACTTTAGCTTTCTCTTTCTTAAGAGAGAGTAGCAGTCGGACACTAGTATAAGCATAACCCATAATCCATTTTATTAAAATGGCACAATATTTTCGACTCCTAATTAAAAGCTTGTTCACTCTTTCTTTAGGGTATAATAAAACTGTACTACCATAATGGATCTATTTCTTAGGAGTCTAAGTGAGCCGCGTCTCTTTAAAGATGGTCTACATGGAATATTGTTGTTCCAATTTTTGCCACATTAATAGGTGGCGGTCTTTATGAAACTTAATACTTTCACTTAGATATGCAAAGAAGTGATGTCAGTATGACTCTATTTACACACCCCAAATTTTACACCTCTTTTCAAAAATTGCAAGTCACACACTCAATTATTGTTTGTTTTCTTAATAAACGAGATAATTAATTTTAAGAATTGAAACGTACTCACTCAAGTGCTAAGATGACAGCAAATCTTTTTGACTAGCGGCTAATTTATTAAGATATCGTAGAGGCAGCCAACATTTACTCATACCTCATTTACCAAACAGCGCTGCAGATGTTAAAAAACCAAGAAAGAAAAACTTTTGAAGGCTAAATATTGAGTCGTCACACAAAGTGTCTGGTGAAGAAGAAGTGCTTTCATAGGTTTTGTATAATTAAATTAAATTTGAAAATTGAATCTGTGACTTGTGACAATTTTCATCATCAACATAAGTACCATGAGAAGCAATGTTTTTTGCATGTAATATGCATAATGATTTTGCTGATAGGTACTAGAAACTACCGCACATTAATCCATACCACACCAAACCACAGTTGCAAGTAACTTAAGGAGTTGTGGAAATTAATAGAAGGGAACTCACAGAGGAAGCAGACACAATTAGGAAATCTTTTGAATTTTTCGTAAATGTATATTTAGTGTATGATGAACCAATGCGCAATGGTGTGACATTTACATGACAGCAGACTTCGTTTGATCACACTTCTTCACATCATAACACTGTGAGGTGTAAGGGCTTTTTTTCACTGTAAAACGGCTCATTGATTGTTTTACATGAATTAAATACATTTTATTTTGTACTTTAGGGTTAATAACTCAATAATGCATTAATCTTATGCAGAGTTTAGGGATTTAGGGATAAAATTATTAAAATTTTAGTTTACAAATGTATGGAAAACAAACAAATTTTGAAAACTTAAAGTTTTTACATCTTAATTAAGAGAGGAGCACTTTAAATGGATACAGAGATTAGGCCAAATTGGGAATACGAATAACATTAATGCCGTTTTCGATTAGTGAATTTGGGGTAATTTATTCAATCGTGATTTTCATTCAGTGCAATTTTCATTTTTGATTAGTAATTCTCGAGCGAAGTGTAACACAGTCGAGATTAATTTATAACACTCTAGATATTTTACCAGAGCATCTAGATTACCCTGAACTTAACAGCTATTTGATATGACTTGACACATAAAGTGTGATTTGATTCGACACATATTTTTATGAAAAATATTAATGCCTACTAATATTATAACAACAAAAATGTTAGATTACTCTAAAGACTATAGAATGGGTAACTAAATTTGACAGATCGAATGTAAATCTAGATTGGATTTAGATTTCCTAATCGAAAACGCCATAAGTCTTATTATATTTAAATATAAACTCAGACTAATAACTGAAAAGATAACTGAATCCATTTAATTATTGAATTTTTTTAATCCGAATAGTTAAAATTCTTTATATGGAACAAAATTAATAAAATTTAATGAAAATAGAATTATTTAACATAGATAATACCAGATTAGTAATTGGGATCTATGATCGTATGAAGATATTAATAAGAATATATTCTTAAATATATTCATTACTTCATTTTTATTACAAAATTAAATTTAATTGAATTAGCTGATTCAACTTTGAATTAGCTGATTTTTGTTTTTTTAAAAACTAGAATTTACCGAGTCCCGAATCTGAGTATCGTTTCAAATACTAGATGGTCAAATGGAATGAAATATGAAAAAGCTAGACATAACATTATTTTCTTCAAATAATTGATTAAAATTTTTACTTAATACTTAAATTTTTATTTATTTTTTTATTATAAATTCTCTCAAAAGGTTCTTCTAATCCATTGTGATTTTTCTAGATGTTGTTTGATAGTGTCAAATAATCCATTGAATTCCATAACAGCTTGAATACTGTTTAAATATTTTATGACTTTAAGGTCATAAGATATGACATTTTTAGACTTTAGGAACTTTCTCACAGGGAAAATAGGAAGGAAATAAGGAATCAACTAATCATCCAAATTGTATTCAATTAACATAAATGAGTTTTAGTATAAACATGTCTGTCATTAAAATAGCCATTTTATAATAATGGATAAGCAACGCTTCGTCATATAGTATATTAACTTTCCAATCATTCATAAGAATAAGTACATATCCTTTCAGCAATCAGAATTCAAAGAAATTCCATTGCTAACTGCTATATATTAAATTGATTAATTTCGTATTAATTTATAATTTATATATAATCAATTAATTTGTATAACATCTTTATGGTAACAAATTATTATAATATATTTTATTCTATTTTTTTATTAAAAGAGTACAATTGAATTCTATTTAAAAAAAAATAGGATAGAATCCTTTATTTTTTTTTTTTTATAAAAATTAATTTGAATAGCATTACTTTAAATCAAATGAATTGCTTAAATGAACATAATTATTTATTTTTTTAATTGATTAAATAAAATATTTAAATAAGATGTCAACGCACCTTTGTTATCCTTGTTAAAATTAAGCGCTCTGGAAAAGTGTTCATCAACAACACTGGCCGTGTCGCCGGAATAGTTTGTGAATACGACGCAGGTTGCAGATAAATACTGAGCTCTCCCCTGGCTATTGCCACTTGAAGTATCGAGAGGTAAATCTTTCGTTTGTGCACCATGCAATGTATGACGTGGTGAATCTGGACCTGAGGAGCATGAAGATTCATTGTGGGATCCCACGAGTCGCGCTGTAATATAAAAAAAAATAATAATTACAAATAAAATATAATTATTTACAAAGTAATTTTGCACGCACATATAATTTAAAAATATTTCTTTCGGCTTGCATATAAAAATTATATATAGAAAAATCTGAGCTTAACATTAATTTAAATGTTCTGAATGCAAATAACGGCGAAAAAATGTTCGGAATTTGAGAATTAATTAGTCGCGCGAGTTAATCGTGCGAACGTAAAGAAAAATGTTTGGAATGTCAGCTTGTGAACAGGCGGCAATACCGCTAAGTGTTGATCTTTTTATGAATGAGATCAAATGATATATGTTTAAATCAAAGTAAAAGAATTTATATAAATTACTTTAAGCTTCTGTTTCTGCAAAATTATGGTTAACAACATAGAACAAACGCCTACTATAATAAATACATGCAAACCGAAATCAATACACTCTACACACTATAAATGTGATAAAGATACTCAAAACTTTTCAGATGCATTAAATAAGCTAGATGTGTGCTTATAAGTGTGATCCGGCTAATACACTTTTTTTACACAGACCATTTTAATGTGCAAAATTTATACATTACAGGTTTTAATCCAAATAGAGCAAAACCTTTTTTTTTGAATAAGTGGGTACACAACTAAATTTATGATATAAATACGATAATAGATTTCCATTAAAAAAGTTATTATTGGAATAACACTTTAAATAAGAGCAAGACTAAGAAGCTGATTCATCCTAAGAACTATGGTAAAGCGCCATTCTCATTAGAACAGAATTGAGGCTGTGTTCCAGATTATATTACAGGTCACTACTATTTTTATTATCTCAGCATGTTGGGTCTGTCTCAAAACAAATAATAACAGCTTTGTTTAAAGGCAGCGAAAACTTCTAGTCACATTCTTTATGACTGTCCGATATAATTCTCACGTAGTTTAAATTTCTTAAATTATATATATTCTGCAAAAATACAAATGATCTTGAATATGACTTTTGATATAAATTTGATTGTAGGAAATAGCTCCAAGACTTAAACTGCCATTGTCATTGTTAGTTTTATTTTACAATTGAGAATACTGTGACGGACTGCGAGAGAAACTTTGTTGGGATATAAAGTATATGTATTATTCCATTACTTTATTAGTAAAAGACTTGTTCAACTAAGGATTATGTTATTCAAAATATCTCGGGCACGGTACAAGTAAAATTGTTGTTGTTTTCGATGTAAATTATTACATTGAACAATATATCGGTTTAAATTCCGTATCTCGGCACTAAGGCAAAGCAGTGTTGTTTAGTAATAAATTTCGGAATTCGCTCATAATCTAATATTACATATTACACTTTCAGATTTGAAGGTAAGGCGTATAAATTTTGTAAATACTGTTAACAATTATTATAAGATAATATAATAATAAATTAACATTATTACAGCCTCTATGAGGCTGTTTACTTTTGGTGGCAAATTGGAAGTGAGCATATCTACATTTCCTTTTAATTTAAGACACAACCAAAAAGTACCGAAACATTGTGAAAATACGAAATTGGCAATACTGATGTGACAGTCTACACAACACGCACTTTTGACATAACCCGAAAGAGCCAATTTACCAATTTTACCGTGCCTGAGACGCTCTACATAACATGACCCTAATACGTCTAGACCCTCTCTCATACTTATTGTAAATCTAACAAGCTATAGTCATAATACGTAAGAAAGTGTTTGGCTAACACAAAAAAATTAACAAAAAAAGCCATTATATTTTCAAAAACACCAAAAATAAATTTTTTATTGGTTTTATAAATTAAATCATATTGATAACAAGGATTTTAGTTATGCTATGCGTATTATATAATATATATATATATAATTATATTATATAATATATATATAACATAAACAATATAAGATTTACCTTCAGCATCGTTTCTTGGTCCCACTAGATCCTCTTCTTTGGTATGTGTTCTGCTATGTAAAGCATTATTTAGATTGCCATGCACTAGAGCTGCAGTACCGCCGCTACTGCCTGCTCCATTGCCAACAAGTGTTAAATTCGTTGATGCGGGTGTTTGATTTGTTTGTGCAGCAACAGCTACAACGGCTGCACTAACCGTAGGCGGTAAAATTGGACTACATGGCGAATGAGAGCCTGCACTTGAAGCACTCGCCAGTTGAACACCAGAAGAGGAATACAAATCTTGATTGAACTGCAAAATATAAAATTTATACATTAGTTATAAATACATAAGGAAATGAATAGAGCGTATAATAATGATTTATGATTTAAAATTAAAACAGATTAATTTGTTACCCTACCTCAAATTTCTCAGTTCGTTCAATAGATCTAAAAATATTGGATAAACAAAAAGCATGGATATTATTATTTAGAATATCTTAACCCAACAATCACTATATAGTTCTTTCATGTTTAATGCTGAGCAACAACAGGCGCGTTGCTCTGTTATGTCCATATCTCCGGGATGAGATTGGCATGTGGGATTTGTATGATATCCGTGATGACTATGTGGTGCCTAACCATGTTATGCCATAGAATTATTCCAATCAGAATTCTGTGATCATTTTTTCATAATTGAAAAATAAATTTCATCAGTTCATTGACAGATTCTTTTAAAAGGCTTTAATCAGATTACAGGTTTCGATTTCAGACCAATTTGTAGAGGGCAGCCAATCGTTCAGTGATACACAGAGAATCCATTCTTCCTCTGTGAGCAGAAACAGTGGGCTTTAAATTTTTAATCCACTATGAATACTAACTTAAGATTTTTACTAAATTTACTAAATCTTGCGCAATAGATATACAGAGTTTTACCTAAAATGGGCATAGATAAGAAAAGATTTTTTTTTTTACGAGTATGGTTTTCTTTCAAAGCAAAAACTTTTTAAACCAATTTTCAATGGAAATTAATCAAGTATTGAAGTAAAGTAATATCTATAATAAGGTCAATTGTCAATATGATAGTTGGCTCCTATGAGTATAAAAGTTTCGATAAAATCAAATTATTATCTGGAAGTGGTTTAATTGGGAATACTTGAATGAATAATAGATGCTAATATTTTTTTTTCTCAAACATCAGAACAAATGAATTCGTCTTCCAAAAAATGTAAATTAAAAAATCTTTAAAACTTCAATTAGAGCAATTGCAACATATACGTGCACCCATGTCCTTCTCGCTTGTATGTTACCAATCATATATCTGATTTGTTACCAAAAAATATAAAAAAAACGTAGATATTGGTAAGGGATGTTACATAGTGTACTCTAATAATAAAAAGATAATTAAAGGTGGAACTAATATTTGTTACATTAACATACCAATGATATTGCTGCGGTTGGGATATCATTGATTTGTTTACAGAAGACCTTGTTCACAGAAGGTGTATTAAGAACAACTATATAATCAAACAGATCCAGATTAAATTTTTCCAGATACAAATACATTTTCAACTTTCCTTTAAGTTTAAAGCAATCATATTTGCATTGTTTAAAGAAATGACTTATTATGTGAACAGGAGAAACAAAATCTACTTGAACACTGGAGAGCCCAAACAAGCATGCGGTAGTCCAGAAGATTCGTTGATTCTGAACACTTCCAAGTTAACACTATCTTTAAACTTTGCAGAAACAATATTAAAATCTACACAGAACTTGTTACAGGACACTGTAGACTCAATTACAACATGAAGAATATAGGTGGATATAGAAGAATATATATTCTATATAGAACATAGAACATATTTTATGCAACTGCCCAGCGGCGGCAAGACTTAGACTTGACTACCTTGGATCTTACTCCTAAATCATATACGTAAAATCATGCCCACAGCAATAACTAGATTTATAAATGGTCTAGAATTGTTTTAGTTGGGCCGTTAGGCGTACAAAAGCTGTTTTAGGTCGGAGTGTATTCATAGCCTATTATTAAATAATAATAATTGTTTAAGGATCCAAATTTACTATATCTGTACAAACGCTACTAATGTTTTCAAAAAAATTCATTTTTGTTAATATAAGAGAAATAGTTAAAAAAAGAAAAATTTCCTAATAAGAGTATATAGCGTACCTTAACAATTTAGTTTTAATATTAAATTAACACCAGAAAATTCAATAGAAAATTTAACAACAAAAATGATTTATATTATCCGGCAGAATATAACATTAAATATAATTAAGTGTAGCAATTAAAAAAAACCATTTAAATTATTTATTGGAGCATAAAATTATTTATTTTTAAATAATTATCGGCAATTGAATATAATGTTTTGTGAAGTCTGATAACAATACTAAGAATTAAGCAATATTAGATACAATGCAATAATAAACAATATTGCCGTAGATATAATGCACGTAAAATGACTTTGTAAAATGAAACTAATATGAAAACTATCTACAAAATTACAGTTAATATTTTGTTAAGTTTCAGATGTCACCATAATAATTTATAATAATTGAACCCAAACCAAAACTTAAAATTTATTGTTTCTCTAATATAACACGTTGTTACGTGAGTAGGAGTATATTTAAAGATAAGTAAATGCATCTAAATATATACATAAATAAATTTATTAAAATTTGTGGATATTGGAGTATTGGAGTGTTAGGGTCACATGCTAATAGCGCCCCATAATCTTTCGGTTTAATGAATTAGCGTCATACTAAGTCTTGCGATTGATAATTTATGTGCAACAATATTCAATAGCAGATGAAAAACTCGTTATCTACACAAATGGAGTATATGGTAAAGACCTAAAAGTGAACGAAAAATAAATACATACCAAAAAGAACAGATATGAATTGTCACCCACCACTAACGATGTCATTAGAGATTTGACGCTATTCTTAAAGTGTGCCGCTCTGGCTCATTTAGTTGTGATGCTAAAATTAACATCATCGAATCAAAAAATATTTAGACTTTACTGCACGTAATAATGGGTTAACCATCACGATCCATTAAAATAATAGCACTACTGACTGCCTGTATTGATTTATGTTCCGTGGCGGGGTTCGCAATGCAACTATATCTCACATTCAATACATACTCGTACCATGTGTACCGTCTTCTCCAAAATAACGTGAATGGGGTGATTGTTGCGCATCGGTGTCATTAGCAGCGGCAATAAAATATGTTGGCAACATTTGAATGTTGAATGTTGCATTTAAGTAAATTTAAAGCGCATTTGAGTTGAAACTAAACAAAAATTAGTATATTTTAAACTATACAAAGGAAACAAGCATAAGACTTTATTTAAATGAATTTATTTTGCTTTAACTCAAAACCTGTATAAATCTCGTTCCAGCTCCAGCAATTGAAGTTAATGGAGCAGCTGTAAACAAAACTACTGAATGTTTTTACAATACTCGTAATTCATCAGGTTGTAGTAACTTTAGAAAATAAAAATTTTCGCATTTCCAATAACAAATAATATATAAATAAATTATGTACTGAAAAGCTAACTATTTTTATAAATTTCTTAGTAATTGTTATTTGTAATTACTCGTTATAGTAAAAATCTTGTTTGTTACAAGCTTGCTTTAATTAAAAATTGTAATTAAAATCAATTGGAACTCAATTAATTAAGACGTTGAAGCATGCCAAATTGATTTTTTTATGTATTTAGGTTAGTTATGTTATAATTAGTATATCAATTAAATTTCTCTACATATCAGTATCTAAACATAACACTGCTAGTACAAGTAACTTTATCAAAAATTAATATAGACATACAAATTAATGTAAAAGATGCTTTCCAAAGTAAATACGACTTTTTGAATCTTTCATTTATATAGTGTCAAAATTTCATAATATTTGGACGTACAGAAACGAAGCTACTCCGTCTGAAGTGGCCTTCTATCAACATAAAAGATCTTTTGATTTCATATGTTTTCCCTTCATCGACGAAATGAGTTTTTCCAAAAAGGTAAAAGACTCATATTACCGAATGAAGTGAATTTTGGGATCTATTGATTTAAAATTTTAAACCAAGAAATCGATTATAGAGGCCAATTGATAAGATGGCGTATCTTTCGTCTCATCCACTTCGTTCTTTCTTCGATATTCTAACCACATACAACGAATACACCAAACGTTTCAAAACATCAAGATAAAATTGTCTATTAACAGCTTCTTTCAGCTCAATAAATTTTTTGAAAACAATGGGATTACTATCATTAAAGCAAATCAACATTTTATTCACTTATGATATTAGGTCAAAATATTCAAAATTGAAATTTTTGAGGTCTTCAGTTCCAGTTCCATAAATTTCTATCAATATTTTGGTTAATCTTTAGATTTATATTAGATACAGTTTTAATGGATTCTGCGATGATTACGATGGTCACGACTATTTTAAACCATGCATAACACTCATAAACTTTGTCACAGGAAAAAAAACCACCATTAAAGCTGGGTTAAACCATAATTTAACCCAGCTTCTAACAATACTATTTATATTTTGTGGCCCTTCTTGTACTGATATGCAAATATACTGTTACTTCAAATGCGATCAAACTAAATTAGATTCGATCAATATAATACAAATCAGATTCATTGGAAGTATATAAGAAATGCTTTTAGGATTGAAAGCCCTTTAAAATGTTTCGGGCCTTACTATGGTATATATAAGGGATTTATATCAGTTAATGTTTTTATATAAATTTTAAATCAGTTTTTAAAAACCTGTCTTAAATTAATCTTTGTATAATTTTGACAGTTTATCAATGAATACTCTTCACTGATGATTTTCATTATTTCAAAGATGCTTTGTTAACAAAACTATGAGTCTAATGTTTAAATATATTAAATAAATTGAAATTTAGAGTGTTATATTGTAGATACTTCATTTAATATAATGGCACTCCGATCAGATAATTAAACTGGCAACTAAAATTATCTTATTACTTAGTAATGTTTTACGATTTTGTTCACCAAAGACTTACAACCAAACAACGTTTATTTATATATAGTACCCTGTACTCAAAATGAATTTTCAGTAAAAACAATTATATAGGTCTATATCATGAAAGTATTAGGCTCACTTTTGTATAGAGTAAAAAAGTTTAAATAGCAATTTATCTACAAATTATACCATCTGCAGAACATACCTTAGGTGCATATACTGAAGGTGCGACTGCGTTCTACTTCCGTAAAATTGAAGAAAGTCGACCTGTTATCGGAGATATCATCCAGAA